CGTTAGGCTTTATCCCTCCTGCTTTGAGCTGTTCCAAAGCCCCGCTTCCCACGTGCTTTTAATGGATTTTTTTAACCATGCAAAACAACAAGAAAAGCAAAAGAGAGAAAAGGATTCTGACAGACTCTTGTAATCTTGCTTTAAAATTAAGGGTAGCAAAGTAGGCGACCACCTCAGAAACCATGAAAAATTAATTGCAGAGTACAGGTACTCAGTACTTAACGTAACATTGTGGGACAAAATTGTACAAAGTCTACCGTGAATGCTTTCTGGAGCTCCAGTAAAGATGTTTGAATACAAGAGGCTTTCCAAAACACACACGGCGCCATATATAAGCACACTGTCAAACAGATGCTTTCAGTCGAATGTTTGTGAGAACCTGCAACTCAAGCGATAAGACACCTTATTATCTGTCAACGTCCCACTGCACAAGTTCATTGTGCTGTCTGCATGGGATCTGCATTTTTGCCTCAATTACAGAAATGCACATATTTACATCTGAGGAGCCTTATAAGACTTTAAGCTATTTGGTTTTAAAATAGGTGATTTCTGAAACATGCTAATACAAACCATAAGTGTAGGTTATAAAGAGTTTCCAGAAATAGGGTAATGAGACTCATAAAAAATATACACAAGCAGAACATCTTCTAAAAGGTGATGTTTTTACAAAAAAAAAAAAAAAAAAAAATCACATCATCAGCTCCACAGTCAAATTAAGAGCAAATGTCAAGTGATGCTGTCAGAGTGTGATGATCTTGAAAACACAAAAAGTGATACATTTTCTCTAAACTTCATCATCACTCTGTAATCTTGCTTTTTTAAATCAGATTTCCTCCAAGGGAACAAAACTGATGCTTCGATATAAAATCTAAAATGGGATGTACACGTACCTTACACTGTAAAAGTAAACACTGTTACTTTTGCAGTATTCCATGGCATGAAGTGTGTGCTTTTCCCCTTGGTAAAGGAAACATTGCCACCTAACAAGTTCCTTTCTAGAGAATTTTCATCATTACTAAGAATGAACTATACAATACGAAACGTAATAGTAAAAGACAAACAGATAGCTTGGAAGCTTATTTTATTATACTTTGGTAAGTATGGTTTCCTGTGGATCAAGACAGTTAAACAAGTTGTTGGAACACTCCCCTGCTCCCCAGAATAGTCTGGTTTCACCTTGCCATGTACTACTGAGCACACTTTGGATTCATAATAGATAGAGGCATATCATTATAAAGAGTGCTTTTCCTAACGGTGGAATTGTTCTTTTTTACTAAAAAAGATGATGATTCAACATTTTAGGCTTAATTTAAAAATCCAAACTTGTCTAATAATGTTGCAAAAAATGGAATTTCTAGGTTGATGAAATGCTGATCATAATTTAACAGCAGCTATTCAGAAGACATGCTGTAGTAGATTTTTTTTTCACAAGTTACAAAATATATACAAAATATATCATCTTAAGATGCCTTTGGCATTAAAAATGTTAACTGAAATACAGAACCTAAGACTCAAAACTACTGTAGGTAGCTCTTCTACAACAATTTTTACAATGGCTATAAAGCTAACTGTGCTGACTATATGCATCATATACAATATGCTTTCTCATATAGCGTTTCTAAAACAGTACACAAAAATATTTTAAACAAGAAATCCACATAAATAATGTTTTAATTGTAGTGAAGTAGGTGACCAACGATTTAAAATAAGTACCTTTACAACAGAAACATATCATGATGTAACCAGCACATACAGTCTGAAAGATAAAAAGGGACTCAAATAACCTCTGATACGGCCACAAGCACCTTGTGTTATGGAGAGCACCAAGGCAACATGGACAGGAAACACAAAAGAGGTAGTGTGCCATCTGTTAAGATGTATTTGTCCACAAAGGACTATAATAAAACAATGTTTAAGAAAAGAAGACGTATTGTACTGTGGCATAATTCACTTTTCATATATAAGCTATTGCACGTGAGGGAGCATTAGCCGGTATCGCTCCTTAGTACTGTATGTCTCCAGCTTTCCTCGGGATGGTATTTTTGCAGTGCTGTTAAAAGAGATTTGTAAGAACACTAGAAGTCCTGAAAAATTTCATGTTCAGGTATTCAGTTCCAGGAAATTATGCAAGAAAGAACCAACATTTTTTTTTTTAAATACTTTATGAAAGTTGTAGTATGAAAGTTGTAGTCTTTTTTTTTTTTTCTTTTTCAATGCCATTTCTCCTTAGGAGGAAGTCTTTTTCTTCCTGAGGTTCTTTAACCAACACTGTTCAAAACGATTCTTCAGTTTCCTAGTAATTTTGCCTGTAATGGATCATTACTTTTGCAGTCAATCTATGTAGCAATTCCATGTCGATGCAAAAAAACCCAGAAACCTTAAAGGAAGCACACTGAACCACTTTCTACGAAGTGCTGCTGTCCTGGTTTGAGATGAGGAAGTGCGTTAACTTGAACAACTGGAAGCTGATTAGTGTCCTGAGTGTGAAAAAAGAACTGTGTCTTATGCCAGCTGCCATCTTCAATCTGCAACACACAGAAGCAGAATATTAAGATTCGTATCAATGATGAGCTTCGAAACTCAAATAGGAATGTGCTTAAGGAGTGAGAGGAGAAGTGTCCAAAAACATTTTTTCTCCCAGCAGTTCCTAAAGAAGCTGTGATTTAACAAATGCCATTTCTCCCATGCAATACCATGGGCACTCCTGGTGAAACTATAACTGGAAAAAAGCCCAACCCAGAATCCAGCTGAAACAGATGCAGACAGAGTGCAACATGGCTCAGAGCAGAGTGCCTGTCACTTTGCAAGCAATCCTGGTCTCACGTAGACTCTTAGATCTCTTGCTAAATTCATCTCTGAATCTGAACAGTAGGTCTCAGGTTATGAACTCTACAGGCACTTGAATGACTTTGTAGGCTCTTGAAGAAGAAATATGGTGGATGAGAGCTGCATTTTTGTTTGAACTTTGTATTGATTATTCTAATCCTTTAAAAATCTCAGTAAAAAACTGATACCTTATAAAAATTATAAAATAACCTTATAACATTTTCTGAGGATGGGAGTGCCTTGATGTTTGCAATCACTCCATTCTTAAAAAACATCAAGTACAGTGGACACCACTGAAAAGTGAAATCCCGGCAGGGAGGGAAATGTGTGAGATTCTGGGCCGGATCTGTATGATACATAGTTTCCCACAGAAACAGCAACATCCCTCATAGAATCTCACAGAAAAATGGCACTTTTCAATAGCCATCACTATGTGCCTTAATTTTTCTCAGAGATTAAAACAGTTGAAAACAAGACTGGGAGGTGGGGACAAAGGGCTTCAATGACCATACCTTAGCTGCATGACACAGGCTACAGCATCGCGTTAGCGTGTGATAATGAAGGTTTGAAGCATAACAGCTTCAAAGTGCTTCAATAAAACCACCTTCTGTCTTGAGATTAAAAATCTCACTTGACATCCCTGTGTCGATATGGAACCCGTCTCATGTCTTTCGTTATTGTAAATGAAAGTAGAGCTATAACACACTGACAGTCTAAAGCGCTTGTCTCCTATATTTCACAGTGTTCTACCAAGATGTTTACCAAATAGGTCACATCTTGGTGAGCGGAGTAATCTAATAAGCATTAAAAAATAAATAATCTCTTCCAATTTTTCCTAAATACAAACATGATTTATATTTTAATTAGCAATGGAGTCCATTTGCAATCATAATTATTTTATTAAATACTCAAACAATTGACTCACAGTCAATGAATTTAAAGATATTTAGTTGTTCAAAAAATAATTTCTAGCCTGTTTGAACCTGAGATTTTGTGTTAGATAACCTCAACAGAACTCTTAGTGAAGCCTGCATTTTCATTTGAGAGTACCTGTTCCTAAAGTTTCCTGGAGGATCTCTTTATTTCTGTTCTGATCTCCCTCCGGAGTCTTAGCAGAGTCTTGAAATACATGACACTCGATTTGAACAGCAAGTATAGGTACCCTGTGTTACTGGAATTGCTTTTACGTTTAGGTAGATGTTGAATTAAATATCAAAAGGTTGGCATATAGAGACATAGGCAGAACAAGGTAAGAAGTAAGCTTTAGGGGATATGAATCTAAATGATTATTTATTTGCAGAAAGTTAATAAAGTTTAAACAGTAACTCTATTATGTTTTAATAATAAATAATAAAGTATTTACCATGCATTCATCCATAAGCACCTTCGGTTCAAGTAGCGTGCTTGCTTTAAATATTTGACCATTCCATCCTTTGAAGCTAACAGATGTTTTCTGGTCACCTGCTTTATTTAATCTCCACATTGGTGTGTTCAGACAATGAACTGTGATGCTATGGGTTGCTTCTGAGCTCAGTAAATGAAGGAAGTTCATCTGCACTTTTCCAATGCCGAACTCCAGCTAAATTCCAAGAGAATCGCATCGTTAGACTTACAGCTGGACTATGCTGAATGACCACAGCAGCACAAAGTGACATGCACATACATGTGTGGTGTTCAGGCATGGCAGCATGTATACACGTTTACACTCCGGGATCAATGCCAAAGAGCACTATTTGTGTTTTCAGGAAAGCTGTTAGGTTCTATTATAGTGGTTACTATAAACAGAAGCTTTTATAGGACATTTTCAAAGCTTAAATATAAACATTTGCTAATGCTTACAACCTTGTTGAAACACAGCTGGGCAAAACCCGCTATTTTTAAATAAGGAAAGTGAAACAAATGATTTTGCGATTCAAATAAAAATATTAGCAGCAGCAGTGTTTTAACTGCAGCCACATCATTCTGTTGTTTAGTCTTCTTAGACCACAGGTTCTGGCAATACCTACATCCCATTAAAAATCCGAAAATTTGTAAGCATACTTTGATTTTTATACAAGAAATATAGTTATTCAGTACTCAACAAGAATTTCTTTAAGATTAGATCATATTCACGGATCTTCAAAATGTAAGAATGTGTATGGGAACTTTATGGTATTTCTGATGCTCTTCAATGACTACAGGGCATATGCAAAACTCCACAAATATAAAATTTCGATTCCGAAGGGTTTAAGGACTTCATGTAAAGAGGAATGTGGATTAAAGACATAAAGGAAACCATTCTCAGCCTAATGACATTTAAAAGCAGTTAAGTGTTGAAAAGTAGTAATAAGGTTCTTCCCATTGCAATGGCCTCAGCATCTCTACACTTAGCTGCCCTGAGTGATGAGTTACTAATGCAGCTTAGAAGCATTTCAGGCTTATTTTTATGCCTTGTATAGAAAAGTATAAAGCAAACCAATATAATTCTATCAGCATAGACGGTAAGTAAATGAACAAAGTGAGAGTTACACTAACAAATATTGCCTCCAGAAAATGTGACCTCTGTAACAGAATTCAAGTGTTCAAGGCCAGGTTGGACGAGGCTTTGGGCAACCTGGTGTAGCAGAGGGTTTCCCTGCTCATGGCAGGGAGGTTGGAACTAGATGATCTTTGACGTCCCTTCCAACCCTAACCATTCTGTGATTCTATGAATATATGACATATCCTTCCACAAAGATGCATATTAAACCCCCCTGAAATCCAACGCCTTTTAATGAGTTAAGTAAATAAGCATTCATTTGTTCAGAGTTCCAGCACAGATACAGTCTCTTTGGAAGCAATGCATACCTTTGTCACGGATAGTGGTGTTAAACATGTCTGACCACCTGCAGTGAAGTTGCAGAAAACTTCAATGGCATCAGAAGGACATCCAATATTTGGGTCAATCCAGTATTTTCCTATTAGTATATAATCCCAAGTGGAAAATAAAACCAAAATATAACTGTTAATAAACATTTTGCTAAAATATTCATAGTTTTTGGCAAGTATTACATATAGTATCAGCATGGCTTCAATAGGAAATTAAAGAAAAGGAAAATGAAAGTCTTTTCACTATTATAATTCTGCTAATAACAGAAACTGAGCAAGATTATCATAACCATTCAATTCTGATTACATATACAATGAATTTTGAATACTGTCATAGTTTCCAAATGTTTTGCTACAGCTAAATAGTGAGAACAAACGGTATTTCCAGTCTGCTCTTTCTGTATTAAAACTTAACTATTTTCTTTGGGCTTGGCTTTATACAGATAATATATTCAGGATGTAAAATATCAATCTAAATTCTCTTGCTTTCACAGCATCTCAAAGCTCCTTTCTTTCTCTACTATCTTTCTCCCATCAGACACTTCTACATGACATATCCTAGTGATGGTAATAAGGCGTATTTGCCATTGTGAATCCATGGGATTTGATCCAATAAAAGAAATAGGCAAATTATATCAGGATTTAGCTTCCCTTAATTTACGGTTAAATATTGGTGAGTCTGTGCTCTACAATTTATATGGGAGTATGCAATCCTCTAAGTGGAGGACTATGTCAGTGACCTCCATGGCCCTAAGGGACTGAGATTTATTTGGGAGAGTAGAGTTCTAATAAAGGTTAGGCTTATCTTTACTGGAGTCTTAAAGAATTGATCTGTCCTTATATATGCCATAGAATGGTGCTTTCTCTGTAATCTCTAACTTCATTTCCTATTTCCTCCTTAGCTTTTAATGCTAATATTTGATAACAAGGATCTTTACAGGTATTTATTATTTTATTATCCACTCAGAAACTGAATTATGTCATGGTATTGACACTACAGGTTTAAATATTTTTTATTTCTTTCAAATATTGATTCAGGATCTTCTGGAATGCAACAACCATCAGTGTATCTGACAGCGGTAGTATATTGTATACAATTTTCTCATTAGAAATCTAGAATCTGATCCACACAAAATTCATTGCAGATTAGCTATAAATACTTGGGAAACTTTTAATCACAAAATTGGATTCAGTTTCAAATTTTCTGAACACTTTTTTCTACTTATATATATAATCCGTCTCTAATATCTATGTAAAATTAGAACTCTACGTACTTTAATCTTTAAAATTACAAATTTTATCTTAAATAAAGATAGCTGCAACAGGCACACTGAAACACGACATAATAAAAAGATCTACACATTATAATTTTGATGTAGAAAGTAACATTTGGAAGCAACACATTTCAAAGCCTAGTTGTGTTCAAGCTTTAATGAAAGTGGACTCTTACCATCTGCCACTTTACGTTCACAGTAAAGCAAATCCCTGCAGATGCGTGCTGGGTTATCCCGTGTGCCAAGGGGGTTCTTGATGCTGTGCAGTAAATTGCTAAGGTAGTGCAGTGTTTTGAATATCTCTGTACTGTGATCTAGTAAAGTTACTTCAGTATTCTGGTATTTCTGTCAGGAGCCATTAGCAAATGTGTTACCACAAAGAAGTATCACAACAGGAGTATACACAGTAGAAGTCAAATGGCCATTGAATAGCCAGACAGAAGCAAAGTATTTATAAGGCATGCAATCAGCCACATAAAACAAGGTAAGAATAACATATTCCAATGAACAAATTAGTAAATTTTATTTAAATTATCAGAGAGTGAAGTTATAGGCAGGTTAAGATCATGCAAATATGTCATTATGACATGTTGACATTAAAAAAAAAAAGTAGATACAGGAAAAAAAAGAAAAAAGAAAAAAATTAGTGCATTTTTAAAGTGTACTTAGCCATTTCAGATTTTGAACAGTGAAATTTACTCTTAGACTTAGCCTAGAAAATATATGCAAATGTATTTGACTTCATGTAAGGAAGCTCAATATAAGGAATTTTCTTGCAATCAATGGGACCACACACTTGCATATATGTCAGTATATTTCGGATCAAGACTTAAATGCCACTATCATTATCTGTGGCTGAACAGATAGTCTGCTATGTGTGACAGTCAATAAATTTCCATTACTGTCAACCATGACAAAAAGGTAGAAATGCTGCTGTTTTTATTAATAAATTTCAATTGTATTTTATAAACCCTAGCACATTTAATTATATTCTACAGTAATTACCGGCTATCCATGATTCATTTTAAATTGTCTTTGTAAAGAAGCCCTGTTCTGTCCTCAAAAAATAGAATTATAATTACAAAACCTGCATGACAATGTAAATATACTGAAATTTATTACCTCCATCTGCAGTGCAGCATTTGACTCAATCAAAGCTTGAACAGCAGCGTTGATGTCCACTTGTTTCTGAAAAAAAGATATTTCAGATTATAAAAAGATGAACAGGAATATTCTAAAATGCAGGTGGTAAATTCTTGGAGTGGTGTAGCAACATACATGATAGCTTCATTGTTTTGTCATTTTAGAAAACAAAACTTACTTTTAAAATAAGATCCTCCCTTCCATTTCCAAAGAATGCAAGCGTGCATACAGAAAAAGCATATTTGATTTTTATTTGCACCCCCATAACCAATTTAATGATCATAGTTCTGGAATCTGCAAAAAAGATACTGTAATAGTTGTTACAGACTTATGTTCCTCCCAGCCATTTTATTTATATACTTAAGAAAATGAATCCAGGTAAATGTGAAAAGGTGTTATTCCTTTTCAGAGAAGAACACAAAGAATATGTCAATCAGCCATCAGCAGCAGACAGATCAAAGTAGTCCTCATGATGCATGAACAAATACCAAGACTGACAAATTAGCCTCTGAAGGAGGAAGCCCATTTCTTGTGTATCTTTATTCTCTGCACTGTGTGATGTATATATCACATCCAGACAACAGGTTTATTTATTTTTATAGAATTAAGTCACCCACACAAACATGTAATTCTTGCAGTTTGTTCTCAGATTACATATATCATTAGAGCTTTAGGACACTTCAGATATTGAGTCTGTCCTAACTCGCACAATCCTTTAACAATCGAAATCTGTGTGTGTGTATATATTGGGAGAACACCTGGGCCAAAAATAGCACAAAATTTTCTGTTGCTATCTTTTAGTGTTCAAATGCAGAAAGGGAGAAAAACCTTTTAGAGTGTGATAGAGTTAACCCATGTCAAAAGTATGAGTGTGTCCATGAGCATTGCCTGTTGAGGGCTCAACAGCGTGGCAGAACAGAACTGACAGTGTAAGATAGAAGGTTCAGAAAAATGTATTACTGTAGTGATGGAAGTTGTAGAAAAACATATTTGCATTTCATGTGCAAGTGATGGAACAAGCAATGCATTTGAAAAGGGGAGACTGTGTTGTAGGTTAGGGTTGTTACAGAACTTACTCTTGGTCCTGGTGGTCCAGGTCGTCCCTGGAAAATGGAAGAAACCAGATATTAGATGCTTCACACGTTTATATAATGCAATCACATTGGAAAAACATAGGTATGTTTTTTTATGCACTTACAGGTGGCCCTGGCTGGCCCTGAGGTCCCTGAGGACCCTAGAAGAAATAGAGATAAAACGCAACAGTTATAGATGAACATTTCTGCTTTTATATTTATGTGGTTTTTAAATCACAAAATGCCACAAAGCGTACAATGAAGATGATGTGATACCAGTTCTGGTAAAGCTGTAGATTGTTAGTTACTATTCTTAAGTACTACACTCTGTTAATGCGTGAATATTCCTGTTAGGATTGCTGAGTTGTCTGGTTATTTGTTTATTCAATTATTTTTGGTATTAAGAGAATATTAGAAGTCATACAAAGTATTAATATATAACATGCTATACAATGTGCCAGCATTATTTGCATGTTGCCAATACAAGCACTACAACAGATGAATGATCGTAAAAGCGTTGCAGGTAATGTTATGACTGATTGATATGCTTAATCCATGAATATCTGCTAGGCATTTACTAGCTCCGTTTATTAGCAGTGTCAATTTTCAGCCAGAACATGTTATGTTCATTTAACAGTGATATTGCAGTCTGCCTTCACATTCAAGAAGTTATGCCCTTGTTTCCTCATCTTAAGTGGCATCATTTTAGTGTGTAGGATGAAGCAGTGGTGAGGAGAGGAGGAGAAGGAACAGCTGCTTTTCCCTAGCTTACACTGTCTGCAATGCACATAGTCTTAAATTTAAGTTTTAGGCTTGCCATAGGGTTGGACATGGACCCTCTCAAAGACAATAATCCCATCTGAGTTACTATGAAAATTTATTAATACACAGTGATACTTGTGTCAGATTTTCTTCTTTAGTCTCTATATACTCAAAAGCCTCTAGGAGCTGCTGTAACATCAACAACAGCAAGAACAATGACATGGAAAAGAATAGATAGCAGGGCCTTAATACAAGTGACAGGGCCTTAATACAAGTGAAAGAAGGGATGAAAAGCACAGGCCAGACTTGCATTATGTATTAGTAAAACCTTTTAACATAACTGAGCTAATTTAAGCAAAGCACGCTTTAGCCAGTGCTGCTTGTACCAATTATTTGAGCACAATACGCTGTCCCAACAAAGGCCCTCTTACACCAATACGGTCATGCTAGTACTAAGTCTCTGCCAAAAGAGAAATAATCTTATCTGACATGGTCATGCTGACAAATATTGTGAAAATGATCTAGTCAAAGAGGTATTAAGTTGTAAATCACTTAATATAGTAATAAGAAGTATTCCTGCTGCGAGATTTCACAGCAATATCTGTGTGAGCGTCACGCTTCAACTGCTGAACTCAGGCTGTGCTTCAAGCTGCCACCAGCAAGGGCAGCTGGAAACAGATTGAATCTGGCCTTTCTTTAACTAACATTGATTCATGTATATTTAAAAAAAAAGGATCTCAAAGCAGATAGGCATGATTTACTTAAGTCACTGAGGCTACAAATTTATGAGTTCTTAGGAGAATACCAGCTACATTTCTTACTATCTCTAGACACATTTGTAAGGCAAAGCACATGGTATCTACTGGGGAATGCATCTGTCAGGGGTTACAATGATCTCCGCAGCTGCAGAAGTTCAGCGTGCCTGCACATCACCTTCCCTGGCCATGCCAGAGGGGCTCAGTGCTGGATTATGAAGGATGTGAAAAGCGGGAGCCATCAGGTAGTTCCTAGCACCAGGGCTATACCAACAAGCCGATGCTGAGGGACTGCAAATAGCTTTGATCATGTTTTACACATGATCTTTAGATAATAGGGGAGAATCAAAACTGAAGCGATTTCTGAGTGTTTAGAGAGATGGTCTTCTGATACTTAACTAAGGCGACCTTAATGGCATAAACTCTAGGGACTGTAAATATTGTCAGCTTTTCAACTGATACATCCTGACCCTATTTACTTATGTTTCATCCACTTACACCTATCGAAGGGACTCTAAGCCATCGTTTAGGTAAATATTAACTGATGTTTTATAAAGATGTTATCATTAATGTTGGAAAATTGAAATCAAAGAATAAGTCATTTTAGCATATATAGTAGTAAAGAAATCACTGTGGGTTCTGTGGCAAGTACCTAGCTTCTCTTTACTCTTCTGAGTTTGATTATTGCCCAGCTTGAAATTTTCTTTGAAATCCTATTACTACTAAATAGGCATAAAATATTATTGTTGTTATTCATTATTAAAAAACTGAGGAGAAATGAGTTTGCAGGATGACATTCACTATTTTCAGGTAGTCTCTCAGCTGTTTCAAATCAACTGGTTTTCAGAGAGCTACACTACTGTATGCCAGCTGAGAAGGCTGACCTCCACATTTAATTAATCAGATCAGCAACTCAGGTGCTGTTAGACGGCGGCAGGATAACTTCAATCCCATGTGGATATATTACTGGACTGTCTGATCATGCTTGGTGAAGTATGTTTAGCATAAAATGAAAGAGGAAGTGTGAAAAACAAACTTGAGAAATGAATTTGACAGTGAAAGGATGTATTTGTTTATCTTGGTTCAGGACTTGATTATGCAAATACCAAGTCAAGGCAAGGCACAAAGTCTTTAACAGTTTGTCCCTAAGTAACCACTGCTCTCTGATGAATAGATGTCCTTGTTCTGGGTGCTAAGATTTAGACATTCCAGTGGATTTTTCAGATGACTGAATGCCTCAGTTAATATTCTGTGTTCTTGGCAAGTGTCACAATTTTAAGACTCAAAAAGTCTTGGGACAAGAACAGTTCAAATTTATAGTGGTTTCTGAGATAGAACTGAATATTCTAAAAATCAAAACCTGCACTGTTCCAATAAACTTCAGGTATTTTGCAAAGGAGGAATGTGATTTGTCTTGATTCACTGATTCTTTGCCAATAAAACCCATGTGAAAAAAGGGTAAATACTGAATGCTGTTTGTTAACTATAGAGAACTACTTTTAGGGATATTAGATTTCTTAACTGCACTAAAACTTCAGAGGGCTATGTCAATTACCTTTACAAGCCCTTAAAATATAACAAAACTGCACCGAGTGTGTTGAAAATCCTGTAGAGATGTTACTAAAAAAAAAAGTTTTCTTTCTTTCTTTCTGTTGCGCAGCAAAATAAGGTTAAATTACACTTTTCAGGGATTAAGTTAATTGCTAAATGTTTTACTGGAACGTACAGGATTACCTTTACAAACCCACTTAATTTACTCTTTGATCACATTAGAATTTAAATGAGAAAAGTGTAATTCCAGTTCATAATAACAAAAGCAGAGAACAGAACAGTTAGTTTTAGTGTGCTCTAATTCTTTAATCGCTTAATTTGGTTGCTAGTACAGCAGTTCAAAGGCCAAACACCAAATCTTCTTCTAATACTGTGAGGCCCTGATTTTACGTGCAATGATACATATGCTCTAACTTTGAAAACACAAGCAATCCCAAGGACTTCCATATTTTCCATGACTCTTGAAAATTTCCAAGAAACAGAAAGTGTTTTTAAGAAAAATGATTAATGTTAAGCTTTCCCTGATCACTTTTGTCATTTAGATGTTATGTCACCGTATCTCATAATGGGTAAAGCCCAATAACATCCTGCAATATAATAACCTGGTACCCAATACAGTGTAGTAGCTGCCATTAATGACTGTAAATCTAAGATGAAAGATGATAATAGAAAATTACAGATTATGCCTTATCATATCATATTGTATTTTTTTTTCACCTTGAGGATAGTCACACTCTGGAACACATTGCCCAAAGAGATTATTCAATCTCCATCGCTGGAAGTTACCAAGACCCAGCTGAATAAAGCCCTGAGCAAAGCGATCTGATCTCAGAGCTGACTCCTTTAAACAGGAGGTTGGTCTAAAAATGCCTTGAGATCCCTTACAACCTGGATTATCCTATGATGCTATTATAATTCATTATGTGACATGCCCTGAAATAAAAAAAAAAAATTAAGAAAATAAAACCACAGTTTCATAAATGTCAGAATTCTGAAACAATATTCCAAAATGTACTCTGTGTTTTTCTAAATTTTTCAATCACAGTGATATGATTATTTTGAACTGAAAAATACTTTTGATTAAATTTTTTTTCCAGAAGCTCTGTTTCTGACAACCAATTTTTCTCCAGAAATAGCCTACAAGATCCAAACTTTGGCTCACCACTGACCTCAACAAGGAGATACGATTTTTCATTCCATATTTTTCAGGGGGCAAAATATTTCTTTTTAGTAACGAACACTGCATCCCTGACAGACTAAAACCTCTAACTAAAACTTGGACTGCTACAAAAAAATTAAGATCTTTGTGATTCCTGGAAGAATGCCAATATCCATTTTAAAGGTATAAATTCAAGCTACGAATACATGGTTGGATGAAATTATTTTCTCTCCTTTGTATCTGAAAATAGTTGGAAATAAATCCTTTTCTTGCCTCCATAATATAAACTAACGCCACTGTGTATAATTTAAAATTAAACATTCTTCTTCTGAAGACAGTCTTAGAAGATGAATTCTTGATGAATCCAAGAACTTATTTAGGAGATGACTTCTTAAACACCAGCACCAATAATGGAAATGAGTGTTTCTTCTTTACCATTTTAGATGGTTTTTATTAGTATTTTTAAAATGTCTGCATTTTTAGATCTTTACTGTCATAGCAATTCTTATCAACAAATAGTAGAAAAAAAACAGTTAAGAGCATTAGAATCAAAGAGGAAAGTTCTCCAAGACGTGTTCAGCTAGCTTAGTTCCAAGCCTTAATTCTTTCAGCAATTTTGAATATTTCTTATTTATTTTTCAAAACTTTTGTAAGACGTTTAGGTTGGAATCGTACACAGGTGGCTGCTAAAAGCAAAATACAGTAAGACAAGAAAAATTAAATGATTTTAAATGAGGTGGGGTGCAAGGCAGGGCAAGAGCAACAGGAATAAGGTCACATTGTCCAGTTACTGGAAAAGCAACTAATTATAAACCTGCCATATAAAGTAATGTCATAGGTATCAACTATCATTGTATTCATATTTGCTGTAAATCCAATAATCTAACAGCTTTTCACATAGCCATTATTAATTGGAGACTTTACTAGCTCTAACACAATTTTTTAATGAAATCAAACATTTATTAATGTACAAAAACTAATGTAGCATTCTTACTGAAAAATGAAAGATAGCAACTTCATAACCTATCAATGCTGCCTTCTGCTACTACAGCTGGCATACACGGCATGGACACCCATCCTCAGCTCTTGGCTTCTACTGAACTCTCCCTCTCTAGACAAGATCATAGAGATCATATGAACACGTGCATGCATGCTGTGCTGTGAGGCACTGGAGCATTGACAATAAGCGTGACAAGGAATTTTTCTTTTAGACCTGAGCTGTGACAGATTTGGAGTATGTGACTGCTACATGATCAGGGGCCATACTGCCCGACAGTACACATCCCCTGAGCACATCTATGTGAGTCCACTTGAACAAGAAAAGGTTAGACTTTTGACTTATGCCAGCAGCTTCCTTAGCCAGCGCTCTCCAGGAGCACAACACGACTGTCTGGCACTCAGAGCATGCAAAAGTACATTCAGAATAACACAGGAATAGTTTTTACACTGCCAAAAAAATGAAAGCACAAAAACTGTTTCATCTTACCATTTCACCCCTTGTGCCCTTTTCACCTCTTGGTCCCTGTAAGAAAGAGAAGCTGTTAATCCAGTATGCGTTCTAGGCACCTAGGATGGAAATAAGCAAATTAATATCCATGAGTTATACTGCTCACACGAAAAGTCCAGTCTCACCTGTGGAAGTAGTTACAACTCTGGGGCTTTAATTTTCCTGTACGATTAGAAAACTAAATTATTTGAAAACATCTTGTAATTCCTATATATGTAAAGCTGATGTTTTCCTCAGATTGTAAATGTGTTTTTTTTTTTTCTCAGTAATTTTAACTGTCAGTGTCCTCCCTGTCAATTAGCTATGTTCTCTGCAATTTGACTCACTGTAATACATCAGTGCTTCACCATCTTAAAAGTAGAGAACAAAACCTGGTACTCTTTGTCACTGATGAAATCCATAGGTTACATATCTGTTTTTATAATCCCATTAGTTCTCCTCTCACAGTCAGATTAGACACTGGTTTTCTGTCTCCGTCGCGTTTTTGGTTAGTTTTGCACTTAAACCGTGTTTCTGAAAACAGTAACAATCTTACAGTTCTTCTCTGGAAGAATTTTGCATCTTGATGGCAGCATTTCATAACACAGAGAAGTAATCTTCAGCTGTAATGCTTTTTTAATGATAATGGCAAACTATTACATTCAATATGAAGTCTATTAAAAGCCTTTTACAAGTGTACACAACTCTAAAGATTTCTTCCTGAGTGGGACTGAAAAGAGTTCAGCAAGACTTAAAGTACTGTCTTTTTCCTAGCAGATGGAAAGAATAGCCTAATTATAGTAGGAATATTTCCCTTCTCCTTTCTTTTTCACTTGTAAATATTTGTATTTATTACTTTTATTGTATAGTGCTGATATTTTTACTATTATTCTTTCAATGTTTAGACATTCTCATTCACTCCAAGTCTTGTTGATGAGACAGAGGAACTTGAGTGGTACAAAGACCTTCTAAAACTACCTTACATGGCTGGGTAGTCTGCAGACATGAGCCACAGGGTGCCCTTGCAGGACGCTGCTCTGGCACAGGGAGTGCAACAAGGGACGGAACCAGGGACAAGGGCAGAGCTCCCTCACTGCAGAGAAATGAGGGTGCATTGAGGGTTGTCAGAAAGGCCAAGAAAATGTTTGAGTTGTACCAGGGACCTCACAGCACCTGGAACACCCCAACAAGGGCTCGTGGGCACTCCCAGCATATCTAGAAGGGCACGCTGGACAGTTCAGCCCAATCAGCAAATAAAAAATAAACTACATTGAAAGCGAGTGTGGCTATCTGCTAGGTATGTCTCAGACCTAAGGCTAAGAAAGAATATCCAGGTGGTAACTATGTGCTGTTTACACATTGACTCACCCACTGCCCCTGTAGGCATGCCCTCTGTATACTGTACTTAGAAGGCCACTGCAATGACTTTTTTGTCATTTTTTTTCTTGTTTGCATTACAGATGCTGGAGTCACATATGTTAGCTTACCAGCATGATATAATGTTAAGATGATCCTGCTACTTGCTATTTGCAAATAGAAAAATGAGAAGGTTGCTAGTTGCAAAACAGATTATTAAAAATAAGGGTAGATGAAATAACCAAGTTATGCAAAAGAGAAAGGAAACTTACAGGCCTGCCAGTTGGGCCTGTTACGCCTTCTTGACCAACAGGGCCAATATATCCCTGTAAACAAGCAAAGAATTTATTAGTCTACCATGTTTTAAAATGAAGAAAATCCTCATAACATGTCCTGGTTTAAAGCACAGTGCACAACCCTGGTGAATATCCAAAAGATCATGGTGGTATTGTCTTTCTGAATATGGACCGTATATTGCTACAAAATCAGCAAGGTAAAATTATTTAATAATTAGTAATAGTTATGGTTCGAAAGCCCACATACATTCTTTTATGTGAAAGCTGATGCACTAAAAATAGTGGAAACTTAAGTACTGTGGTTACCAAAGACCACATATTTATTGAGCTACAATCAACTATATCTTGAGCTCTATTACTGCCCACAAGTACTCTTGCAAGGCTGTCAGTAAGTGCTGCTAAAATGTTACTTTCCTGTTCCATTTCACTTAGAACAAACCGCTCACTTTCACTGTTTGTCTTGTATATGAGTGTTTAGAAAAAGAAAGCAGCTATTAGAATAGGCCCCTAAAGCTGCTGCTCTGCATCTGGTTAACTGAACTAATTCAGTTTTGTGATGGCAATGGCAGCAGTAAGAGGAGAACGTTTTGTAGTAAGGCTTTCCATGGTGCAATCTTTCCCCCTTTTTCCTTTTTCACTTGATGCTGTGGATGCAAACTCCCCAATATTAAAAAATGTTAAAGATGCTTCCACATTTTTGGTGAGTAGCAAAGTAGAATATCATGAAGAAGGTGTCATGAAGAATGAGCTAATTCAGCTAAGTAACCTTATAGATTAAAGGAAATATTTATTAAAAGAAGACTACCTATTAAGCAATAATGCCTGAGCACCACTGCGTCTTACTGTAGGCAGTTTGACCCTTTTTTCTCTTGCTGTAGGATAGAGCTATACAATCAGCATTATTGTGAGTAAGAAGAAAGAGAATGTTCAACCCTAATAGACAAAGGTAAGACAGTGATAAGGATAGTTGTGCAGATAAAATTATCCTAGGAGAGTCAAACTTTGTCAGAAGAGCTTGACTTTTTCCCTTCAAGATCAGAGTTCAGCTCTGCTTGTGTATCCATACTCATGTTGCAACCAGAGCAGTGTTGCAGTACAGGCAAAGGGCTTCTAGTGAAGCCAAAGTGTCAGAGAGAAATGTTTGTTTAGAGGGTTCTGGACTTGTTAGTAAGAAAACAGATGATTCTCTAAATTAAAAACGTGCCACTTGCAAGCCATCCTGACAATCTCTTTTATGGAGTGAAACACTTACAACTTGGCCTGTTGGACCTTTCGGGCCCAGAATTCCAGCTAAGCCAATGTCTCCTGCAGGACCCTGAAAACGCGAAGGAACAGTTTAAGCGAACATGGACATTAGCTATCCACTTCTTTCAATCTCTTGTAATCAGTGGAAGTAAGGTAAGATAATTTCTAAAAGCAGTAACAATTAAAACACCAAGCACACTGACTCAGAACGTTCATCTTTGGGCATGGAGTACACAGTTCTACCTACAATGTTCCAACAGCTCAGATAGAATTTGAACAAATTATTGTCAAAGCTGATTAATTCTATGCTTTCCTAATGTTCTCACTCTGTAAATGGCTTAAGATCTAACAGAAAAGAATGAGCACATACTTTTGGACCTGGGAATCCTTGAAACCCCATTAAACCTTGATCTCCATCTTCTCCCTGTAATAGAAGCAGTTATCCTTACTATTATTTCATTATGGTAACTCTTGGACTACTTGTTCTGCATCAACCGCTGTGATTACGTACAGTTTGTCCTTTCAGTCCAGTGTCTCCTGCTGGTCCTTGGTCACCTTGTGATCCTGAAAAGCCTCTTTTGCCTCGCTTTCCTGGATGACCCAGAAGCCCTTTTTCACCCTGTGAATAGGAAGATAATGCATCCTTTATTACAATTATGACAGTTGTAAATGTAAAGACTGGTTTCCTGACAGAGGTGTGGAACACGCTTTCTCTCTAAGAAATAGACCTACTCCATTCATTTTATTTTCATCAGGAATACTTCCAATAATTATACTTTCACTAAAATGTAAATGCAACTTGACTGCTTTGACTTGGAAACATCCGAAACCCACACATGTTGGATCATTTCCAGTATAGTATCTCCCACTGCAAGCACTAAAATCACAAAATAAAATACCGAACAGGGAGGTTAGAAGCAAATTTAAAAAGTAATCCTCTGAGCAAGGAATAGTATAGTTATGGAACTCCTTGCTGTTAGACTAAAAGTTTACATTGATTCAAACAGAAACTAGACAAATTCATGTAAGAGAAATCCTCTGAGGACTGTCAAATATGTGGAAACCATGTCTAGCTCAGAAGGTTACCAAGCTGCAATTAAGGCTGGGAATATACACCTTTCATGCTTGCTTTGCACATATGCTCTTTCCTAGGTGTTACCTTTCTGCTGTAAGACAGACATACTTTTGGCCTGCCTCAGTATGTCCACTCTTAACGCTTATTTTGCACTACATGGTAACAGTTTTTCTTCACCTCATCTATTCCCTGTCTTTTTGAGGTTGCAAGAATTTCTGAGCAGGAACTACCTCCTACAGCTCATTGTCTAGACAAAGGAATAAAATCCAGACTGGGAGCACTGGCAATAAACTCTACCAATATTGAACACAGTTTTTACTAAAATATTATCATGACAAGATAAAAAGACAGTATTTCCCTCCCCCAGTTTTCAAGTAAGTTAAGGTTTTAAAAACTGCCTACCTATAAAATCTCACAGAGCACTACAAATCATGATTTTAGATTAAAAATTCTATTCTAAATGGAAAAAAACATCTGACATGTTTCCATTCTTTGCTTCTTTTACCTCTGAAATGAGTCTAATTAAGATGAGGATATACTGATGTTGGGTACCTGGAACTGCCTGAAAAATGGAGCACACTCAGATTTATTTCTTTCTGACCGGGCTGAACAAGAAAAATTTAAGTCCTATGATAAATGAACATCCCAGACACGCTCATTAGCCCCCAGACTTGGGACTTAGGCTTGAAATTGCAATACTTCTCTGCTAATAGATTGCTTAGATGTTCAAATCATCCAAACTCTTCTAGTAGTTACAGAAGCTTAGAAAGAAAAGTCAGTCATTTGGCTCTAAAGCTTTGGGTGAATAAATACAAAGTGTTTTGAATAGCTTCTGGAGCTGGGAATAGTATCCAGACAAATGGGAACTCTGTTTTCAAATTACAGTTTACAGAAACTGCCAGCACAACCTGCAGTCTTACCCTTCAAATAAGTTTTGATGTCAATTACTCATATGACTAACAGTAGCATGGTGGTTCCACAATCACTGGATGCACTATGAAGACTAAGCAGTATCAGTAATATTGTACTTAAACAACAAGATCCCACCTTTAGTCCAGGTGCTCCTATGGGCCCTGGCATGCCTGGTAATCCCTTGGGACCTCGAGCTCCAGGATAACCTGCCAGACCTGGTAAGCCTGAATTTCCTTTATTACCCTTAACAAATTGAAAATAGTTGATTACAAGCAGAACAGCCAAACATGTTTTTTCATTGTATGCTAAAACAGGCATATAACATAAAAACAGTCAAAGCCACTTAATGCTTTATATATATAAGGAAACATATTGATAATACATCAAAATATATGGAAAGACAATGATCACCAGCATCATCTGGATTTCTGCTAATACTCCAAAAGCAAAGCCTCATCATACTTAGCAATAAAGCTACATGTGCTTTAACTATGGGGTGGATTAAGGTTTCTGAGGAGTCAAGTTATTTTAGTTTAACAAGTTGCTGACTGTCAGCAAACAAATGCTAACCATGGCAGAGCCCATTGCAGTTATTCAGTTCAGTATTTGTCTTAAACCTTGTTTTGTCCTACCTTAAATATATCCTGATGTCATTTGCGTGGGATCACCTACCTAGACCTTGAAAGACTTCTGAAAACATTCAAGAGAATCAGTTGCCAACTTGGGCTTATGTAAGGCATCTTCCCTATAAGCACTCTCCTAAATAGGAATAGTTGCCTGGTTGGATCACCAGCTTAGGCACTAATGATCGAGAACTAGTGAGGAATCTTCTGTCCACAGTAATTGTGCATTCAAGTATATATGGAAGCACTCATATAGGCATACCAGTGACTGTTTTTACCTTCCACAGGGAATCATACTCAATAGTTTATATGAGCCCTAACATATTTGCCAGACATGAAAATTTGTATGTTCAGATTAACAGCCTTTAATGCTGATGCCTATTTAATTCTTTTCTAACTCTATTTTGAAACATGCAGGAAGGGAGAACTAATCTCTGTTAATTATAGAACATGACTCCATGAGATAGTTCTTGGATAAGTGTTGTATGATGTCTGAGGATTCTGAGCTTATAATAACGAGCTCCTTCTGATAAAAACAAGGTGCTGAATTCATTCATTACAGATAGGCTGAAAATATGACCGAGATTCAAACCATTCATTTTTTCAAGAAGGAAGTCCACATCAAGAAATAAAATGAGACTACCTTCCCACAGAAACATTCAAACCTCAACATGCTTATTTCTAAATACCAGACATTCTGATAATACTGGTATGATTGTGTGCACTCTGTAAGGATTCATATACAATAACTTTACCACACCAAGAAAGATCAGAATATTTGTTATGAAAACATGTGAGAACATCAGACTATAACAAAAGCAACTATTTTTAATGAAAAGACATGTTACTAGGTACATGGAGTTAAGCCAATTTTGACATGTTAAAAAATACAAAATGGAAATTTGCTACCATCCAAATGAATGTCTCTGTGATGTCATTTACTAGCAACATATGCGTACATATATATATATATATATATATCATCTTTCATTTGACATTCTGTTAAGCATTCATAGAAATAAAAAGGTTGTATGAAACAGGATTTTTATACTAAATGTGATTTTCAGGGCTTCTGAATATGTTATTGTGACTTAGAGCCTGATAGGCTGATAACTTACATAGCAAAAGTTCAGTTCTCTTTATTCATTGCAGCAAAAATGAGTTTAAAGCCTCTTTTTATTACAAATTGTAATGCTACTAAATATTGTTAATATGGAGTAATGGAGTTTGTTTTAATATGAAAGATAACATTTTGAGTGGAAAGGCAAAAATGCAAGAATTCTTTGGGGTGATACTCCTAAATCCAACTCCAAAGAATTTTAAGTACTTGAAAGAGGTTCAGTGGACATTATCTAAAACTGAAGAGGCTCGCACAGGGTACATCTGCCCCCTACAGGTAACTTGTTTAATTTTCAATTTGTTCAACCAGAGCACCTCGATTAATTCCTAACACCAAATCTAAGTTGGCATCCTTTTATAACAATTACTGGTCCGTCTAACTAGAACTACTGAGAAATAAAATAACTGAAATCAAAGTGATCAGACTTTCAACAATGACAACAACTAAGGAATTTTCTCCCTCCTCTCTGGTGTGAATAAGTGAAGAGCAGTGTCACTGCTCCCAGGAGCAGCAGGCAGCAAGTCACCACGCTTAGCCCACAGCAAAGAACAGACAAAGAATGGTCCCAGGTACCTCAGATACCTAATACTCTTTTTCACTAGTTTTGGGCAAAGTTTCAGAATTGCTTAGGTAGAGAGACATAGGTTACAAATTCAAAGACAAAAAGGAAAACGTGGTATTATCTCAGGGCCTGAGAGGAAACAGTCTCAGTTGGGTTCTGTGTCTCATTTTCGGGAACAGAACTATGAAGCCTCTCTCATTAATAAAGCATTTTCACTTGGCTGTATTTACTACTAACATATGCTACTGAAATATTTCTTCTCACAGCACACTTCCCTTATGCTAACTTTACATCCTGGCCAGAATATCAGCAGCAAAAGAGGAAGAAAATAAAGAATTGGTCTAATTTTCAAGATACTCAAGAAACTGAGAACGGTTCCTTCTGCATAAATGCCGTAACCTTAGAAAAATTTTAATGCAAAATGACAAAGGGGAGCAATGTTCAAAGCGACTTACCTTAGGGCCAGGCTTCCCTGACATTCCAGGCTTGCCAGAGTGGCCAGGAATACCTTCTGGTCCAGGGTAGCCGACTGCTCCTTTCTGCCCTGCTGGCCCTGGTTTTCCCTTGAAACAAATTGAAATCAAACACAGCACTGTCAGCTCTTGTCATCTTCACCATCACAGATCTAGATTTCAGTCACAGTATTTCCTAAACCCTACATAATAACAGACCCAGTGACGGAATACTCATAGATGGGTCTCTGAGATAGGATGGTTGGTTTAAAACACTATTGGCTTAACCTTAGACTTGCGGTGTTGTGGGCTCTGAGCAACTTCAGCTGAAACTATGGGGCTGACCTCTTTGCATGCCAGACCTGGAAGACGACTGAGAGTGTTGATTCTTAAATTGAAGCAAGGAAATCTGATAGAGTCATCTCTTTATCCCTGTAAAAAAACCAACCGTATACCTTTTCAGCCCTCATTTTACTAGATACTCTGTATTAAACATATGTAAATTATTCAAATTTTTACATATAAAAAACACATACAAACTTCTAATTAGACAAGTTTGTGCTAACTGTTGCTATACTTGCACAAAAAAGCCTCATGTCACATCCACCAAAGGAACAATGATTTTTTTCTTTACAATCATTTTGCTTTAGACTGACATATGCTATCTTAACGGACTTGGAGTTCTGCAATTATCTCTGTATGAATGTAATTTTCAGAAATGTAAAATATGCTAACTACAACATACCTCATTTGAAAATGTATGGTTAACAACAGTCATATAGAATATAAGAAGTATGCTATCTTAATCTTATTTCTAACTTCTGGTTGCTGAATTATCTTGCACTTGGAATGTGCTTTAAGACTTCCTCAAGTTCCAGTTCTACTGTCTTCTCCTCTTTCCTGTCCTGTAGTCTTGCCTTTTCCCTTTTTCCTTTGTCTGCCAAACGATATGCTCTCTGCAGTCCTGCAGAGGAAAGAGCCGAGTATTTACAAGAGACAAAGAGTCTCCTTGCCTTCAAAAGGCTCTTTTTGCACTCTGCCCAGCAAATACAAGCTCTGTGAAGCAGCTGCATTTCTCTGGTTATTGACAATGTTTTGATGTAAGGTAGTAAAAGTTATTTACAATATGTGCTTGTGTGGTATTATTTATTAGCCTTGATGCACTTCGTTCTTGGTTATGTTTACAAAACACCTACTGCTTCCTGCTCTTTCTTCTCCCTCAGGGAGAAAGGGATGCAAGTTAGCTTCTCTACAGTAACTCAAGAAAGAGCATTAACAATTTCAGCTCAGGGCAAGCAAGAGAAAGAAGTAAACCTCAAGGGATCTGCCAGCCGTATTGTCATGGTTTGATGTGGAGGGGGTGGGGGTTCTGGTGGCAAGAGAGGGGTTTTGCTCCCTGTGACCTCCCTGGTTTTGGAACCGGGTTAGGCTTAGTTCTGGCCACCAGATCAGACTGCCATCCCCCTCGGGGTTGAGCCAACAGGGTGCCTCTGCGAATTGCCCTATTTAAGTCGGGACCAAGGAACCGGAAAAGGTGCTTTGCCCAGGAGCAAGGAGAGAAGGGAGGAGGGCGCTGCCCCTGCTCCGTGGCTCCCGGCCGGGCGGCTGCCTGCGTTGGGCCGGCGCTGCCCACGGAGAATGGCGGCGGCGAAGCCAGCTGGGGAACTCAGGGGCACCTCACTCCCGGGGGGCCCACTGGGCTGCGTTCACCTAAAACCAGCTGCCTCAACAGCAGGTCAGTGAGGATGGAGCGAAAGGAGGTGTGCTGGAGCCGAGTTTCCCCAGCAGCTGGTGGTGAGATGGCAGGCGGCCCCCCTGCAACCAGGACGGCCTGGGTGGAGTAGAGACCCACT